TCTCTTTCCCTTCTCCCTTTTCTTTCCCTTCTCTCCTCTCTTCTCTTTCTCGTCTCCCTTTTCTTTCCCTTCTCTCCTCTCTTCTCTCTCCCTTCTCCCTTTTCTTTCCCTTCTCTCCTCTCTTCTTTTTCTCTTCTCCCTTTTCTTTCCCTTCTCTCCTCTCCTCTCCTCTTCTCCCAACCTCTCCAAGCTCTAGTCTGCTGTCAAGTCATACTTCTCTCTCCCATCTCTACCCTGTTTTCATCATCCCAGTGTTTTGCAGCTGCATCCCTAACACACAAAGAGATGAAGACCCTTCTTGAATCACAAGATCTGGCTCCCAGTGTTTTATTTAGAAAGGTCTTTAAAATATTACAGAAATTAAACTTTTTACAGCTCAGGGAAGATTGTCAACCACAGGTTTTAGAAAAGAGCGGCTAAAAGCTGAAATCACCAGATACTGGGCCAATAACCAAACCTGAATACTACAAACATCTCAGTATGCATTAAAATGAAATTACTGCTGTACAAAAGAAACTGTACAAAAGCAAACCTAATTAAAAGCACAAGAAAGCATCATATTGAAATCACTTAAATTACTATGAAATACTTCAGGGCCCTCTAGTGGTTTAATCTCTGGTATGAGAAAAAATCCACAAAGAATTGTTTTTAAAACAAGGCTACTGAGGTGTAGGGCAATAATGTGTTCTATTTTTGTCACTTTCATGTAATTAAGGGCATTTAGGCTAGAAAGCTGCCCAGTAAATTACCAGTAAGATGAAAAAACTACATACTAATCCCTGTTCACAAAATCAGCTAATGGGTAGCATTTTTTGTCTTCATAAAAACGAGAAGTCACTCATTAACATTCTCAACTGTGCCACAACCAAAAAAACACACAAAAAAAAAAAATCACAACCACTCTCCCAAATTCGCACCAGAATGACTATTTCATTCAAAACTGCAATGTCAAACTCCAAACCAGCTCTCTACAGCCCAAAACTGCATGGCTAAAGACAAAAAAGTGAAAAACTGCAATTTCCTAAAAAAATTTGCATCTGCAAGATTTCATGCCCTCTCTTCAGAAGACTGCTTCATCTTTCATCTATCACTGTAAAAATTACATCCTACTCTGGCTTTACTACACAGAAAAAGGAACAAATATACAGAAAACAGGTCACAAATTTCCTCTTGAAACATGCCAAGAGAATTCAAAGCAAAGAGATGATCAGTCACAATACTCCCAGATCTGTACCCAAGTCCTACATGGTGTAATAGGACAAACAGGATCAAATACCATTTGCAAGTATTTTCTACACCTACAGTAATAGAAAAGGAAGTCTCATGTCTTTTAGAGACCTCAAAACTATGTCCAAACAGGGCAAAAAAAGACATATAACACCTCTTTTAGATCTGAAAGGTAAGTGCATGAGCTTGGAAATTATTCCAGAAGATCCTGTGATCAGGAGTGTGGTGACAGGACCATGACAATGACAATGATAAATCTTTCACAGGCCAGAGTCAGCAGCCACGAACTTCAGTCTAAACACAACTTAGGAGCAAGTGCCCAGAACTCTGAGAGATTTGGGGAGCTGTGAACTCAGCAGGAAACTGCAGCCACTCTGGAAAGGGCCACGACAGAACTACACGCCCATAACCTGCTCCTGGATCTCAGCTCCACCATGGGAAAGAGAACCCCGAACAACAAACCCCCCACAGAACTCACCTCATGGAGGTTATACTGTGGATGAGCTTTTCAGATTGTTCTGACAGCCTTGATGGAAGAATTATTTCAACTGGCTGCAGGCGCAGAACCCGACTCTCCAGCTCCGAGCGGGAGGCACAGTCCCGAAAACTGTCAAAAATCACTTCTCCTGTAGTTGGCTGGATTGCCTGCCAAACAGAAATATACACACAATATATCCAGCGAACATTCACTTTTTCAGGGACTGCTTCAGTGGCTCAAACTGTTAACCAGAAAAACAATCTAGGGTGTAAAATTATACCACACCCCTACACACAGTGAAAGCAGCAGATCAAAAACCTGAAAGTGCTTTTTTTTTTTCAAACCCATGATACAAAAATAACTTCAAAACACTAACACAACTTTGTCTTGGTAAGTGGCAACAACACCTTACAAATGTAAATATGCTTTTGTTCCTACCAGCCCATTGCTGTTCAATTTTTAATACCAGATAAATCTATTAACTGAAGTCTATGAAATACACATGTAATTCAAACTGGAATTTGAACGCTTGCTTCTGTTGTTCTCTCCCAGCAGCAGTATGACATTCAGAGACACAATCAAGATACTCTTTAATTAATTCATTACCAGCTGACTGGGCTTCAGTTATCACTGTGTTTTGCTGGTTAAACAAGACTGGGTTTAATCTTCACCAGTACAAATCTGAAGTGTAAGTGGTAAAAAATCCTCTAAAGAATGTTATTTTGTAGAGGAAAAAAGTTCTCACAAGCTTTAACATATTAACCCTAAAAATGTTTAAACATTGAAATTTGTAAGGCATCTGAACTAATGATTTCCCTAGTATGTTTGGTTAAAACACTAGTATGTTTTCAAGTGAAACAGGAGCAAAACCAGCTTGATAAATGGTTCAACTATCCACTCCATATCTTTTCTGAAGTTTTCAAATATAAAGCCATCACAGTTCACACATAGGTACCTTAACTAAAGTGCTTCTTTTTTGCAAAAAAAAAAAAAAAATCATTCCTACTCCCCCGCAAAATAAAATCTGAAAGACAAAGCAGCCATGAATTTAACAAGGTAGCCACCCACCTCCCCAGAAAAGAAACGAAATGCACAAGAAAACAACCCCACACAGACTAAAACCCTAAAACACTGACTCCAGAGAAACTAACTTACCACAATGCCTGTGACAATGTCACCTTTCCTCCGGTCCTTCAGGCTGTCTCCATTTTCACAGATGCAGAGGAGGTAGTTATCAGGGACATCTGCTGTTACCTCTTCAACATCTACAGCATCGTCCAGCTTCAGCAAAGGGTTCACATGTAACAAATGTCAAAAAAAATACTGCACAGATTTGGGTGGACTGTTCACAGGTCTTTCCAGATCTAAGTTCTGTAGTCTCATACATTAATCTAACCATTTTTTTAGCTCCTCGTATCTATTAAGTTTGTTTGAGAAATTAAATTTAAAACAAGGTAGATAAGACAGGATAGGGCAAAACAGAAAATGGAAGAAATTAAATTAATTGGTTAAAAGCTGTTTCTCTCTCATTTTAACACTTTCTAGACAAGACCTGCAGGACACTGCAGTTTTGGTACATCCACTCATGACTTCAGAAAGCAACTACAGCAAACACAACAAACCTACAGCCCTGAGGAGGCTAAATTGTTTGTAAATACAGCAAGATGCTTTACCACAACATAAAATTAAAGGAACTTTATTTCCTGCTGCCACTCTTATGTCAGCCACTAGCTGCTCATTTTCCATCCTGGTGAAAACAGTAGAATCAAGGCCTCCCAAAGGTTACTCTGAAACCAAGTTTATTTGAAAAGGATATCTTCTCCAATAAGTGTAGACTTAGTGTAGAGGGCAGTCAGCTTACGGCTGAAGAGAGAGCTTTTATTTTCTCCAGCAGCTTTCAGTGCTGCAGTCTCCATTTGTTTAATTACTCCAACCTACATGAAGACAAACAAGAAACAAAGTCAGATCTCTAGTAATAAATTATTATTTTTACTATTCTATATATCTGGTAATCTTTTAAGATGTGCAAACAACAAATGCATAATTCAAGCTGGAATACATCATCAACAGAAAGGGCTCTCACATTAGTCCTACTAATGAGATTATAAGGCAGTGCTTTTCCTGACCCTTTTCCTACTCCTGACTGCCCTCTCAACTTCTGTACCTGTGCTTCTCGTCCTATTTTGAAACAATTTAGCTGGACGTCACTGCTTATTAGAGAATGGTTGCTTGCATCCAATTTAGAATCAACAAGTCCTTTTCTTAGAAATGGAAGCAGAAAAAGAGGTTATCACCAGAAAGCCACAGAATTACAGGGATCCAGAACAGGAAGGAACAGAGGAAAAAACAATGGGCTGGGATAAGAAAAACAAGGATGTGAGGAATAATAAAACAGAGAGAGGACATGTACATTTCTCCTTATTAAATGCAAAAGCTTGATACTGAAACACTGAGAAAAATAATTGTTCTGGAACTGTTCCTGAAAAAATGAAGATATTTCTCTGAATCTGCTAATGGCTCATGACACCCCCAGCACAGAGAAATTGAAACAAGGGGAAGTTGGCCATTTCTACTGCAGGAACCAGGGATAACGAGCTGCCCACTTCTCAGCTGAAACTAGGTGCTGGTACAAGCAGTGCAAGTTCTCTCAGGGCTGGTCTGTACTCAATTAGCAGGAGTCAGGGGCAACCTTGTGTCCCTTGGCTACCAGGCGGCGCACGTGGACGAAGAGCCGGTGGCTGGGGATGCTGGCAGTCATGAAGTTGTGATCCAGGTGACAGTAGATGTTCAGCTCCTTAGCTGCAATCTGCAACCAGAGTCAGCACACGGGTCACAAAGTAATTTAAGAAGGTAAGGAGCTTATCTCTATGACAACAGTGATGCACAACTACAATTAAAAGCTCGGTGACAAAGGGAAAACATTCCAGGAGAAAGCCTGGAGGGGCCCCTCCACCTCCCTGTCCCAGCACTGCCATAAACAGAGGATTCACTATCACAGGCTGCAAGGTGTCAGGTTTTAAGGTTGCACCTTGATCTTTACCACTGTGAGGTAAACCACCCACACTGCACACACAGGGTCTGAAACACAGCTCAGCAAAAGGTCAAATGATTTTCAAGCCACTGCAAACCCAGCAGGAATGGAAGTATTTGGTTTGCAGTCATAAAGATGGGATTAACCCGGACAATCAACTAAAATACTGAAAAATCAATATTGAACAGCCGTGGAAACTAAACACTTAATAAAAAAGAGTAACAACACTTACTGAAATGTGACATTATCATGTGTGATGTGTATGGTGTTTCTGCCCCTTAGCAAAGAGGCAGATGTTCACTGAGCAGAGAATGGGGTGCTAGGCAGGACCTGCAGGCAAACACTGACCCATCTATCTGAACAGCATATTTCTATTTCTGGGCTTTAAGTACACCAGCAAATGAGCAGACAAATTACACAGCACAAGTATGATGGGGAAACTGAATTCCCAGTAACCAAGCAACATTTCTCACTGGTCTCAAGTGTGAAAACAGCACCAAAGAAAGGTTGGTAGCAACGACTTTGGGACAGATCATAAGGAAAAGCATTATGAAACATTTACAAACCATCACTTTAACATTATGTTTGTTATATAGTCCTTTCCAGTTCCTACAGATCTGCCATGTGTAGGTGCCACATCCCCGCATGCATTCAGGATGATCTCTGCATCCAGGCTACACCTGCTATATTCACCTCTTCTAACACCACTTGCTCCACTGCCTTTCAATCTGAAATATCCCTAATGTCATACATTGCAATTAGATATATATTATAGTAGAGTTCTGAGCCATGATATGCAATTCACCTCAGAAAGTTTTTCAGCTTTAAATCTCACAAAAATTTATTCTAGGAACTCACCTGAAACCCTTGGTATACAAGACAGCAAGCACTAACATATGATTACAAAACAATAAATGCCATTTTGAAAAAAAAAAGTGCATAATGGATAGTCTCGAATTTCAGCACGCAGAGATTTTTCATCCTGATTTCAAGTAACAAAACAAAACAAAATACCCCTTAAAACTTATGCCCCCAAAGAAGTCTCCCTTCCAGAAATGGCCACAGGCCTAGGATGACACCAACATGATCCAAGTATCTTTCCATAATCTTGGAAAAAATTACCTCTGCATCTTGTCCAAAGAACCGGTATTTGTATCCACATTCCACACACAGAACAGCATCTTTATACTTTTTCTTCATTTCTATGAACTGGAGTTCTAGTGGAGTGTAAATGCTTTTGGTTCTTCTATTAAGATTTGTCTCTGATGAATTTTGAGAATTTTCATAAGACTTAAGAGATGCAGAAAACTGACTAAGATTACATTGTAACTCCTCCTGTAAATAAAAGATGGAAAAGTGGAAAATTAGGAATCATCAAACAAATCAAATCACCCCCTCCTTGGTTTGCACTCACTCACAGAGCTGAAGACTGCTCTTGCATTGAAGAGCCCCCAAGCTGCAGCACAACTATTGCAGCAGGATATACAGAACACAGTGTATTTGGAATGAAAAGGAATTAAAAAGTAATGAAAGACAAAACTAGTCAGTCCTCAAGACACCTGAGGGGAAATCACAACCCTACTGTATCATAAGCTCTCAAAGCCCAGACCAAGACAATGCAGGCTGCAAAGACTGGGCAATCTAAACAGGCCATACATTGAAATAAGGATGAATTACTGCTCCAGTTTACAGGTAAGAAACTCCAGCACAAAAAGATTAATGCTGTTTCAAAAATCCACAGAAAATTGAGAAATAAACCAATTTCAGTCTCAGTTCCCTGTCTCAGACACCAAAACTGTACTCCTTCTCCAGTCTGCACTTCCTCCATAAGTTCAGCAAACTCTCAGAACACAGAAAATCTACACCACAGTTTCTAAAACCTTGAATGTGAAACGCTTTGAGCTCGCTCCGTCTGCAGTTTATCATTTGCAATGACATTGTGTAGCCTATTCTCGCCAAGCAGCTTCAGCTCTACCACGCTGTGCTGTTCTGTATTGCCAGCAGTGTGATGGGTGCAGAAGTGCAGAGAAAAATACTGAAAAGTGTTCCACTTACAGCAAAATTCCTCCTCACTCATATCACAAGATCAAGTACAGATAATATTGGTTAAACAAAACACAAACACAACACCCTCCAGAGTTTTTTAAAGCATGTGACTATTCAAAGCACAATTAATCAGGTTGTGCTATAAACTCTGCATCTGTGAACAAATCCAATAAACTTCCATTTCTACCAAGGGTCCAATTCAGATTACAGGAAACAAAGTGAACAGACTGTTTAGAGCAATGGCAATTCAGAAAAAAAAATAAAAAACAGAGAGATAGCTTAAATAATATACTTTGGGTCATGGGAATGTACAAAGTGTGCAGTCAGAGAACAACCAGGGAAAAACAGCACTTAGCTGTAACTGCAAAATCCCCACAACTGCACACCACTAAGCAAGAGAACCCAGCCCAGCCCAAATAAAGCTGCCCTGCACCCAGAACTGGGGTGGCCTCAGGAGCTCAGATGTCTCTGCTGCAAAATCCTCAGCTCACAGACTCAGCACTCTTCAGTCCAAGGTCTGTGCCAGCCAAGCAGGGTGACCTCGTCTCATTTTACAAGAAACTGTCATGACAAAGCATGTGAAATAAGGGCATGAAACCAGGCAAAATGAGTAAAACAAACTCAAAAGCTGACCTCGTGAGATGGGCTAAGTTACCAGCTGGAGGAAGATTGCTAAGTCAAAAGCAAGACACAAACAGCTAAAAAGAGCCCTTCCAAGGAAGGCAGGTCAGTTTTCTGGGTTCTCCAACTGACCACAGCCTCGTAACCTCAACCCCTTACCACAACAGAGTTATCTTGCCACAAGCTGCTCACTTCAGCATTTGGGCCCCACATCCACACAAAGCAGACACCCCCCCAGTCAAAGGCCATAGCCCTCAGAGAGGGAAGGTTAAAATCAGGTTTTCATACAAGCTCCTTCCGTCAAAAAGCCAGATGTAGAACTCCACTAAAGAGCAGCCACCACAGCAAGCCATGAGATGCACCCTAGGATCTGAGCACTTGGCCCCCAAACCCCCCAATTAACTAGTGTTAACTACCCCCATAAGTAAAGGGGAAGTAAAAATACTATTACTCCATTCAAGTCTCTTGACTTGCACCACACCTATCATCACGACAACTTTTTGTGTGAGCTACCCCTAGCTTCTGCAGATGAAAAAAGGAGTGATACCTTTACTAGTTAGATTTACCAGCAGCTAGATTGAGCCACATCTCAGTGATAACCCCACACAATATTTTTGCAAAGAAAGCCTGTTGGAAGTTTGAGAGCCCACATCAAAACTGGTGGAACTGAAAGCAAGATGAGCAAAGTGCCATTCTGAACATCTGTTACTAGGGTGTTGAAAGCATCTGCACACAAAATCAGGTCTGTGGGGTTCTGCTACACCATTCCACGTCAGAGCACAGAAGCACAAAGGGAAGCTTGTGCCAAAACTTGCTGGTTTAACTCATAACAAGCAATCCACACACCCCACAAGGCCAAAGCTCTGCATACCTTCTGTGCAACCTTTGGGCTGCTGTCCCAAGGTGGAAGAGGATTTTTCAGTTCTGAGCTCCTCCAAGTAATACTGGGACATTTTTCTTTCTCCTGAGAGCCATCCTCCCGGGGGCTGGTACACTGCTGGTTTGAATCACTGCAGAACTCTCTCAGCCTGCCCAGAGTTTCCAAACTGATACGGGGCTTCTCACACTTCTCAGAGTCTTCTTCGGTGAAAATTCACGACAAAAACATATTAGCAACTTATTTTCTAAAAGAGAACGTCTATTAGAAGAACATCAGTAAGCACAGAACACAACCATTTTGCTCCATGTCGCTCTTCCCTGTGTTCCCTCTCCTCTCCCACTGCAGTATTTCTGCCAGCCTGACGGAATCATGCACTTGAACAGCTTGGTTAACTTCCCTGGAAAACCAATACTCCTCACTTGTGTGCTTCTTTCTATGTGGGAAGAGATGTATCACTATTTTTGGGACTGACAACCACACAGCCAAAAAGTTAGCTAAGAATACTGGGAATCAAGCAGATTTTTTTTAATACATTTCTTTAAGCAGACAGTATTGCCTCTTGAGGCTGTACTGGTGATACTTCAAAGCATCACACCCACAAATTTAATACCATTCCCTCTCTGAGACTCAAGAGGCTAATTCCTTCTATTGAAATGTAATGAACTTTGCATTCAGCGGTTTTCACACCAGCATTAACTTACTAAATTCTCTGCTCAAAGCCAGATGGATCTCAGGCATTTCTGAGGCAACAGAGCAGCTGACAATGAAAAATTTATTTACTGCCTGCCAGTGCTTGAAGGTTTGCTAACAGTGAACTCACTTTTATCCTGAGTCTTCAGTGGGTTACACATCTCTTCCAGAGTAATTTGGCGTGCCTTGGTCTTCTTTTCACAGGGCTCATTGCTTTCAGTAGATGTACTCCTTTTTGTGCCACATTTAGAAGCCTGAAACGTAAATTAAACTAATAATTTCAGTTACCTTTTCTGTTTGCTGTCCTCTGAAAAAGAACAAAGCAAATTCACAATAAGTTAATGTCCAAGCTCCTATCCCTGGTATTGTTCAAGGCCAGGATGGAGGATCTTGCAGCATCCTGCTCCTGAAATGTCTTTTGAAACATGCAGTTAGAACACTGTGTAAACAGAAAATTCATCAATTTTGCTGTTTCATCATTGATCTTTTGCAAGAAGCTTGACTAAATATGAAGTAACTTATAAGTCCAAGAAAACATAAACACTTTGCATAGAGCCACACAACAGGTGCTTTCAGCAGCTTGCATCCACATCTCATATTGTGACCTCAGATGGCTTAACCATGGAATTTCAATTTCCTCAGAACTAAGCAGGAACTCCAGCCCTGCCAACTAAACCCAAAATCTCCATATAAGCATAGCCCACATGAATAGCAGTTTTCAAGTCCACTGTTAAATACCACCAAATTAACACTAATTAGGAAGTTTATTCTACAAGGGCAGAAAGATGTAATCACAGATTTCAAAATATATTTGGACCAAAGGCAACCAAACAGCTGACTTGAGTCACAGGTAAAAAAAAAAGCAAACACCCTTCCAGGGCCAGAAGAGGCTGGAAATAATTACTACAGGGAGAGTGGGAAATACAAACTCAGGATGAAATCCAACTGCAGAGACACAGCCACTGTTCCCCAGGGGTGACAAAAGGAAGGATCTGCATCACTGCAGGCTCTCTTGGCCTTGCACCTACCAGCACTCAGACCCCGAATCACCTGAGCTCCAGCACCTGGGACAGGAGCACGGCTCACCACATTCCAGAGCTGCCCAAAAACGGGACTCATTGCTCAGTGTGCCACCAGCCACCAGAGACACCCTGGCGAGAGACACGGGGTGCCCCATCAGTGCTGGGCAGGCCTCCTGCCCTCTCCCTGCCATAACTTACACTCCTTGCAGACAGAGCTGGCACTGCCTGTGCCCGCAGTGACTCGGCTGGCACACGGGCTGGGCAGCCCCAGCCAGGCTCTGCAGCTGCTCAGGGACTGGGGCTGTGCCGGGCTCTGTCCCAGCTGCAGGGCTGACATGTGGGCCCTGAGCAATTACACAAGTCTGCAAGGCCATCCTGGTTTACATCCCTTAAACTTGCTAAATGCAGGATGCCCTTGACTGAGAGATGCAGCTTCTGCCTGTCCCACCGATCAGGACTCACTTCTGGCTGGTCAGACTTCACAGTACACAAAGATTAAACCTCAGAGAACACCCCGACTTATGAGAACTAATATATTCCACATTTTGCAAAACTGGAAGGCACAGGGGTTCAACACTGGAATGAAGCCCCAGTGGCATGGACCAACACGCTGGCCTTGCTCAGGCCACCACACGTGTGCCAAGCTCCAGCTGCTCTGAAACAGGCACATCCTGTATCACAGGACACCAGGGTATTTGGGGCTGGGATGTCCCACACAGGGACCCCGCAGCCCTCCCTGGGCACTGTCCCAGGGAGCCTGGGAGGGGTGGGACGGACGGACGGGATCCCCCCTCGGCTCCCTGCTCCAGCCCGCCCGGGCCGAGCCCGGCACAGAGATGCTGCAGAGCCCGAATCCTCCCTGTGCCTCCCTGGGCCCCTCCAGCAGCTCCGTGTCCCTCCTGAAGCCAGGCTGCTCCCCGAGTACCGCGCTACCAGTGCCAGCGCCACACAGACGCCACAGCCGGGACCTGGCAGCGGTCCCGCAGTGCCCGTGCCCCGCACAGGGACGCCGGCATGGGTACCGGGATGGACACCGGCATGGGCACCGGCATGGGTACCGGCATGGGTACCGGGATGGACACCGGCATGGACACCGGCATGGGTACCGGCATGGGTACCGGGATGGACACCGGGATGGACACCGGCATGGGTACCGGCATGGGTACCGGGATGGACACCGGGATGGACACCGGCATGGGTACCGGTATGGGTACCGGGATGGACACCGGCACGGACACCGGCACAGCGGGCCGTGCCCGCCCCGCCCCGCCCCGCGCACCGTGTGGAGCGGGCCGCGCTGGCCGCCGCTCGCCGCCGCCCCGAAGAACCTGCTGAGCACCGGCTGCCCCGCGGCGCCGCCGCCCCGCCGGCCCCGCGGCATGCCCGGGCCCCGCGCCGCGGCCCCGCCTCCCGCCGGATGCGCCCGCTCGGCCCGCCCCCGGCGCGGCGCGGCGCGGCACGGCGCGGCGCGGCACGGCACGGCACGGCACGGCCATGCCGCGCTCGCTCAACTCCATCGTGGCCGTCAGCCAGAACATGGGCATCGGCAAGGACGGGCGGCTGCCCTGGCCGCCGCTGAGGTACCGCGGCCCGCCCGGCCCGCACTACAGCCCCCAGCGTGCCCCGCGCCGCGCCGCGGCAGGCGGGCGCGGCGGGGCCGCGCGGGGCGCGCTGGGAGATGTAGTGCCTGAGGGGATGCGCGGTGAGGCGGGAAAGTGGCGGCGTGGCGGGAGCGCGGCTGTGGGGTGGTTTTTTCGCGTGGGTTCTCTCTCGTGCCGTGGGCGCAGCTTATCGCTCATGCAAGCACAGCCGCGGGACAAAGGTCCCACCTCGGCCGGGCACGGGTTCAGCTCTGTCCAACCGCCTCTCCCCGGCCTCCGGCAACACACCCAACACGAGTGGGGATTTTTCGTTGAAATTAGAGAACTTGCGGGAAAAAAAAAAAAAAAATATAAACTAGGGAAGTTATTCTTAAGACACGTTGTAACGCAGCTCGTGCTTCCCCGGCAGGAACGAGTACAAGTACTTCCAGAGGATGACGAGCGCATCCCGCGTGGAAGGTAACGGCTCGGGATCCCGCTTTCCCCGCCTGCCCTCGTGAAACCAGGACGGAAAATCAAAACCTTACAGTGCTAATAAAGCTTTGTAGGGATGGTGTGTTCAGTACAGCGCTGGACGCATGTGAGGGATCCTTTTTTTTTTTTTTTTTTTTTTAAAGGACATGCGTGCCCCTGAGAACTGCCGATCCTTCTTTATTACTGTTGCTAATTTACGTATGCATAGGTTCCTGCATATTAATTTTGTTGATTTTGCGTTACACTTGCAGCTAGTTACACTTGTACTCAGTTTTTGTGAGAAAGTACAGAAAGAGTCACTCTGGGCTGTCTGCTTTAAGGTCTGAGGAATTTTTCTTATCTCTTATTTCTTTAGCTTGGAAATTTGCATTCTTGATCTGGGGTAGTTTTGTTAGTGCTGCAGTTACTAGACTAAACAGCATATTTTACTTATGTTAGCAAGCTTAAAGTGGCACATTTCACTTAAATCTAAATGGATTTCTACCTTGTTAGATTTGCACTTTGTCTCACTCACAATTGTCACCAGTATTTCAGCCCTTTGCAGTCGCTCGGGTTAGATGAGGGAGGGAGATGAATCAGGTATTTCAGAGGAGATGCTGGTGGTCTCTTAGGTTCTCCATTCAAGTCCTTTCATCAGAAGAATAGAAAACTTCATCTAAAGTTTACCTAACAAAGTTTCTTTACACAAAACTCCAAGTTAAAATGGGAAGGTTTCACAAGCTGCTTAATTAGCAGAGGTGGTTTGTTTTTTGCAGTCTGCTTTAGTTTATCTAACTTGTTTGCTCAGCCTTGGTCATCCAATCCACGCCTCTGACCCTTGTGACAGTAATTTTGCTGAGTTTTCAGAGTCCTGAGCCAAATCCACACACCAGAAAATCTAAACGATACTACTGCAGTTGTTTGTCAACACAGTCATTTTTCCATGGTTTGTTTAGGGATTTTTTTATGCTGTTAAAATTCACTTTTTTTTGGTAAAAACTTACGTCTGGTCATCTTCCTGTATTCCCTTGTTTTAATTAGGTGCCATACTCCATTTTCTGCCTTGAAGGTCTGTTTTGATTAGGTGACTTACTCAATTTTCTGATTTGAATATCTGTTCCATAATCCACAAGGAATGTCTAATCTCATTTTGAAATGGTTCCGGGTGAAAGACTTTACATATGTTTGAAGACTTGGTTCAGCCCTTTGCAACCCTGTATGTACTAAAAAAGGACAGAACACAATTGACAGTTGTCTTTTTAGATGTTGCATCTTACCTGGCAGAAATAACCTGTGATCAAGAAAAAAGGTGTTTGAAATATAATTACAAAGAAACATTTTGCTCTGTCCTGCCTGCAGATCTTTTGATAAGCTGTGATCTTGGATGCTAGGCAGGTAAAGTGCTTCATAACCAGACTTCCTAATGGATTGTGCTGCCATAAATCCTCACACCAGGGATGTCACCTTTGCCTCCGTTGTGTCTCAGCCTGGAAACAACATGGGAAGGGTGACCATGTTGTCATTGTGTTTTTTTCTCTGATAACTCCTTTTCCTCATACAGAGAAACATTCCTTTCCTTAGCAAATTTCCATATGAGAGGTAATCAGGTTATGAATGCTTAGGTTTGGTCAGAAATTATGTGTGTGTTAGAGTGTGATTGATCACCTGTAATACATCACTTTAGATGTAATTTGACTGGTTCTTCTCCGAGAAATTGTGGGTTTATAAATCAGTTCTCATCTGAGAACTGAGCTTATGCTTTGGCTAACTGCTGGAGAGGGGCTTGGAAGCACATGGGAAGTCCATCACTGTTTCTAAACAGTTCAATTCTCTCCTGCTCAGGAAAACAGAATGCAGTGATAATGGGTAAAAAAACGTGGTTCTCCATTCCAGAGAAGAACCGTCCTTTAAAAGACAGAATTAATATTGTGCTCAGCAGGGAGCTCAAGTAAGTATGATAAATAAGGGCCCTGTAAAACAAATAAAAACCTGCACCAAAAAATGTCTGTAGTGTTACAACATGCAGTAGTTCCAAATGTAGCATTTTTGATACCTGTTTAGAAAGCATTTCTGCTGTTGATTCTGAGTGTTATGACTATTTACTCTTAATTTTTAATTTTTTAAAATTCATTCACAAGGTAATTGTCATTACTTTGCATCATGAGTACTACTTTTAGCTCTACTCACAAACCATTTGACAATTTTCAATAGTGTTTCTGACTCATGTACTTAACTGTATTTCTCTAGTTCCTGCCTACACTGGTGGCCCTAAGTCCATTTCTTGAAGTTCATTTTTATTAGGATTTGTGGATGAACTGTTCATTTTCAGAGCTCACTTCTTGAATGAATCACCCACAATCGTGCAAATATTTTAAAATACAAATGTCCACTTGTAGTGCTTTATTGCTTTGGAGGATGTTGGTGGATTTGCAGGTGATTATGTGAGAATATTGGCTTTTCAGCTGGTTTTGTTGAATTAAATGTTAATGTGCTGAAATTCAAGTCAAAATCTACATTTTATTTCTTGATTATCTGTACTTAATGATCTATGTTTAATTTATAGATTGTGTCTTTATCTTACAGATATGTAAATTTCTCAATTGCGCTTTTTCAGAAACATGTTGTGAAATTCCAGATTCCTAATATACAATGCCTCCTAAATTACAGTTAAGTTGTGATCTGTTAAACAACCCTACAGTCAGATGAGACTTCTAACATAATTTTGCAATAACAGGCACTTCAAAGTAATTAGCTGATGTGCAGCATGTAGTTATTTGTTAATTCAGGAAAGCACATTTTGTGTCTAGGCTGTATTGATGATCATGATGAATTGTCATTTATTTATTTAGTAATAGAGCTTTTCTTTTTCCAGGGAAGCCCCGAAAGGAGCACATTATCTTTCCAAAAGTCTGGATGATGCTCTAGCTCTTTTGGATTCGCCAGAGTTAAAAAGTAAAGTCGACATGGTTTGGATCGTGGGAGGCACTTCAGTGTACAAGGTACATTTAGCCTCCTCCTAAATTACTCAATTTCTGTGATGGGATGAGGATGAAGTTCCTATTACTGCTGCTTTAGGAGGTGCTTTCCCTTCACATTACCAGCAAACTGCAGTAATTGCAACAGAACAGATCTCAGAGAGTGTAATCTCAACTCTCAAGTTCAGAATACCCATCCAGAAACTGAACATTGCCCTTGCCAGTGGGCCAGTGTCACACTGTTGTTTTGCTTTTGAGAGCTTTTCCTAAATACCTAAATTGCAGTATTCTTCAGGAAAAAAATGTATTGTTATGTTTATTTTACTGAGCCCATGTTTTTGTGTTTATTTTACTGAGATTGCTGACTGACCCTGCAAAGGTTGTGAAAAGAAAAAAAAGAGGAAAAGTGCTCCAGCATTTTTAGCCAGAGTATGACACTTTGTACATGTAAATGGGGAAGAAAATAGGATTTAGAGAAAGCTGACAGGTCATGGTGTCAGCAATAACAGGAGATAACCATACAACAAAAGGTCACATTCACTCTGCTTTCTCATCCAGCAGTGTTCCCACTGCTCCCACTCCCTGGGTCAAGAATTGTAAAGCAAATTCTATTTAACAGTAAAGGGAACATTGCTGCTGTCCTTTAGTCATTACAGCCACCCTGGGAGATACACTGCAGTTGTTGTTGGGCACTCGAACATGAGATGCGTGATGACAGTGCCATAAAGCACCTGGTGGGAAATCAGGGCTGATACTGTGTCCTGTGTACAGGGTAGGAAAATGCATTTTTCTGGTGTTTCTTGCCTTTACACTTTGTGCTTTTCACAAATCTCTGTGTCTGAAGAAGCGCATCTTTCACAGTGAAAACAGTGACGTAGTTAGAGATTGCTACAACTGTAAGAAGATGAGGTGTGCATGAGATAACACTGCTGTTCCTTGTGGTGAAGTCCACCATATGTTCAATGTGCAAGTGCATTCAGCCTATAATCAGATGTTATCCTGCAGAAGAAACATCCTTGGCTCTCAGCCATGACAGTGCCTGTGCCATGCAGAGGCTTTCTCGAGGGGCTTCTCCTCACAGAGGGCAGAGCTGCCCAGCAGGAGCCAGAGCCAGCTGTGAGAGCAGCATTTGCCCCTGCCCTGCCACAGGCTCAGCTGTAAAATTATTTCTTCTGCTTCTTCCTTCAAGAGCATCTGTCTTGGAGGCTTCTGATATTTGGAAAAAAATAATGCCTTTTTTTAGACCATTACCCACCAATACTCACATTATAAATTGGCAGTTTTGATCAGGAGTAAATTGGAAAGTACTACTTGTACTGATCAGTACAAGGGAATGTGTAAAGTAATAGGAGACCTGGTTACCCTGGACATGGAAAAGCATTGAGTGAGATGGGAACGGCCAGTGTGGAGAAGGAAGAGCTCAGAGCCCCTTCCACTGCCTAAAGAGGCTCCAGGAGAGCTGGAGAATGACTGGAGACAAGGGATGGAAGAACAGGAGCCAGGGAATGGCTCCACTGCCCCAGGGCAGGGCTGGGTGGGACACTGGGAATTGGGAATTGTTCCCTGGCAGGGTGGGCAGCCCTGGCACAGGGTGCCCAGAGCAGCTGTGGCTGCCCCTGGATCCCTGGCAGTGCCCAAGGCCAGGCTGGACACTGGGGCTGGAGCAGCTGGGACAGTGGGAGGCGTCCTGCCATGAAACAAGATGAGCTTTAAAGCTCTGTCCAACCCAAACCCTTTTGTGGTTCTAAAATTTCAGCTGTTTCCTCCCTTTCAGGCATCTACTCAAGACATTTCAAAGGAAAGTTTAGTTACATTAGGAAGAAATCTGACAGTTTTATTCAGATTCCTGCACTCAAACTACCTTTGTGTTTTAACTGAAAGGGTTTTTTGGGGACCATACACATCTGCCAAAACTACAAGTAATATTTTTAGTGCCTGTATTAAAGATGCACAAAGAATTTTACAGGAGTATTTCAATTATGTCATGAAGAAATGTGTGGGAAATCAAATGGCAATTGGTAATTGAAATAAATAATTTTTTTCAGTAGTTGTAGGTATTTGGTTTTAAAGCATTATTTTGATTTCACTCTTTTGTGTGTCTCAGAGGTTGAGACCTGATTTTGTTCATTAATATGGGTCTGTGCTTGTCTATAGAAAGGCCTACTCCATTTTGATTAATCAGGCTGTTACAGAACTCTGTTACAGAAAATCTGTTTATACTTCCACTGTCAAACAGAAAGAATGTTCATATGGGAGTTCATTGCTGCCCATTTAGGCCAAGGGAAGCACTTGCAGGTGGCAGATTTGCACATTCCCAGTGGGATTTGCCTCCAGGTTCTGTTACAGTTTTCTATCTGACCCTGTCATGCTGTGTGCAAGGAGCATGGTCCGTGCAGGGTAATTGTTCTGTTGGTTGCTAACTGCTTGAAGCACAGTGGTTTTCCATGGGGATCACTACAAAGTGGAACCACAGGCAGCTGTGTGCTCTGACAGCCTGTCAGGGGCTGCTGTGGGTGTCAGAGGAGGAGTAGGAAGATGTGATTCTTGGGACAGCGCTGCAGCTGCTCTGCCCAGTTGGTCTGTGGTCCTCAGCACAGTGAGCTGTCTCGTGACCTTCCATTGGAGTGGGTTTCCAGGGAATAGGGAGCAGGTACAGAATGTACAGGATGTGAGGGTGTCTGTCAGAAGCTGCAGCAGCAGCTTTGCCATTGCCAGACAACACCTCCAGGGCCCACAGCGTTATTTCAGACAGTGGCTATTGTCCTGTGGAGCCTTTTAACACAGCTCCTAGCCTCAGCACTGTGCATCAGTTAATCAGTCTGCCTTGGGGAGGTCCACTGTGATCAGGGCTGGTGTCACCAAGCTCTGGGAACAGTCCTGCAAGCCGTGTTTCTGTAGATGGTGTGAGCAGGAGCGTGCCATCACCTTCCAGGCCGTTGCTGGTTTTTGTTTCCCACAGTCCTGGTCGTGCCCTGGGCTATTCAGGATGTCTGGGCACCTGCCCTGCTGTGCCTTCTGCTTGGCCCAGCCGCCGTGCTCTGCACCAGCCAGACCTGCCCTCATGCAGGGTGCTGGGCCAAGGTGCAGCAGCTGCCCAGCAGTCTGAATGCACATCTGGGACACGGGTGTCCAGTCGGTCTCAGGTACAGCTGGCTGAGGTGCCTTGTCCAGCCTTTAGGAACTGAGGCAAGCCAGGGTACTACAGCATGTGCTCCAGGATGGCATTCTGGGGCAGGATGCTGCCTGCCAGGAGTGGGATGGAGGCAGGGGTTTGCTGCTGTTCATATCCTTTTCCTCCTCACACTGCAGAAGAGGGAGGGCCAAATCTGTGAACATTTATAAGGACACAGAGCATCCCTCTGTTGGTTCTGGCTGCCCCTTGGTTCTTAAGGACACAGTTCTCTCCAGGAGGTGGGACGACTGGCATCAGCTGCCTCAGGCCCTCTGTGAGCTGTGGTGGCCATTCAAGTCCTCGTGTAGGTCATGCTGATGCTGTGCTCACACACTCTAGGAAACTGACCTGACCTCTGCAACAAGGAAAGAGGGAGCAGTGGGGACAGGGAGAAGCTGGGTGGAGTGTTGGCATTGGCAAGTGAGAGCAGAAAAAGTTGAAAACATCTCCATCAGTTCAGTGAGGGTTCAGAAAAACTCACATGGGTGTCATCTTCTTGAATTTCACTGGACACTGATCTCTCATCAGATTTATTATCTCTTAATGTAGCCACAGGGCAGTAGCAATGACCCCAGGGAAGCTTTTGGGCTTCTGACAGCACAGGCTTACCAGGTTAATTTGCTTGGGTCTTAGTGCAATGCCACCTGGATCCCCTGTGCACTGTTCTGGATCTCCTGAGTTCCAGGAGGAGATGCGATTGCTGTTGTTTGTGTGGATGAGGAAGGAGGAGCCCAGCAGTGGGTTACAGCAGTTATGAAGCTGTTACACATCATGGCAGGCACTCTGTGATTTTGTGGGAGCACTTCATGTTTGGAGGGCTGTCTGCTGGCTTATGAGTGCTTCTTGTGTGCTGGGGGCTTGTGGTGCTGGCCCACTCTTTGGTGCTGGCCCTGGAGTCCCTCACAGCTGTTACAGCTGTTAGAGCTCATCAGATGTACTGGAGCACAGCTTCTGGCTCTGTTTCATCCCCAGGAAATTTCATTAATGTGTATCAAACCTGCTTCCATGTACCACTCAGTCATGGTGAGTGGGGACAACTGGAAGAGTCATTAAAAGTTGGACTCAATGATCTTGGAAGTCTTTCCCCACCTCAGCGATTCTACAGTTCTGTGATTTCAAAACCAGGTTTCTGTTCTGAGTTAAGACACTGCTGCACCTGTGTGGAGGTATTGTCTCTTGAGAAGTTCAGGTCTTGGCCTCGACTCTGAAAAACAGTCTGGACATCCTGCGGGGAGCAGAGGCCCACAGAAGGGTTTAGGCTGGAAAAGGCTTAATGGCTCATGTCATTCCAGACCTCTTGTTTGGAAAGTGGGACACTTTCCACTAGACCAGGCTACTCTGAGTCCACTCAGTGTGAGTTATATCAGTCTCTTTTAATTACATTTAAACTCTGTGGTTTAGACGGGTCAAAAACAACATTGAGGTTTTACTAGGAATACGACCTGTAAGTCCATCACATCTTTAAATACTAAATAAGGTGTTAAAACCAAAACTAACAACAGCAAAACCACATACAAATCCATAAAACCCAAGTATCAACTTCCTTACATGTATGGTATGGTTTTACAATGTGTCTAGTGAGTATGTCAGCATTCCACCAGCTCAACTCTGTGCCTCCTCTAATTTCTCTTCAGTCCCAAAAAATTGGTGAAACCAATGGAGTGGCCTGGACAGGGCAAGACTGAATTGAGTATCAGTGAGGACCTACTTTATTCCTTGTGCACAGGACAGCATTATGACAGAACTCCTTTGCCACCCTGCCATGTCCTCAGCAGTGTTTCACTGAGGCAGTGTCAGAGTCCAGGCCTCCCTGAACAGGCTCTTTTGGAGATTCCACCTCTGGGTTTTTGTGTTTGGTATAAAATTTGCTTCTCTGGAGTTTCCTGAAGTTGCCTCTGGAGACCAGGGAGGACCTGGTGTTCCCAAGGGAACAGGAGCTGTCCCCATGGGCAGTAACTGTAGTGGCAGGGCTCGGGGTGGTGGGACAGGTCCATGGGGCAGGGTCTGGTCCCATGGCCATAACCAGGTCAGGCATAGCCTGGGGTGAACAGGCAGGGCTGTGGGCACAGGCTGGGGCAGCAGCTGATTTAACTGTGTGCTGGAATCCCAAAGCAGGGGAAAGTTGCCCAGAACATAGCAGAGCAGGTGGAGAAGCACATCTGTCCTTGCTCCTTGCATGCTCACTGCCAGACACTGGGCACTCCCAGCTGCTGAGGAGCAGTATGTGGCCTGAATCCAGCCTGAGCCTGTTGCTCTTCCCCGAACTCTGTTTGCTGTTCACTGGTCACAGAGCTGGTCTGGCAAACTGAGGAAGCATTTGCACTCCTTCTATGAATGTGGGGCAGTGACTCAGCTGGTTGGTTCATTGAGCTAATGAAACCATTTCCCTAGAACAGAGGTCACCATCTGGTCTCCCTGGGATTAAATTTAACTTTCTTTGCACTACCTGTGGTCAGTCCCTCCCTGTGCTCCTCCCTGGCCTGTTGTGGTGATGGAGAGTTCTTGATAAAACTGAATTCCCACAGGCTTGGATAGGAAGTTGATTTGTTCTTCTACTACAAAGCAAAAGTGTCTCTGTTTACACAACACGTGTTTTTATTTGTGAAGCAGATTATTATTCTGTCATTTTGCAAGTGTTACAGTCTTACCTTCCTGTCCCTAAACACAGAAAAATATAGTATTTGTGTACAAACTGGGTGGACACCAGTTCAGTGCTCTTCGATGCTTGTGTGCTGTGTCTTAGCTCTCATTTCTAACTGTTGTCTAGCAGAGCAGCTTTTCTACAAATTAGCCTCTCAGCAGTGGTTAATTAATTTTATTGGATTCCATTTGGTATTACTTGGTTCCTGTGCTTGTTGAAGTAGTACCTAATAGCCTGCTGCATGGTGAGTCACCTTCCACAAAAAGCATTGCTCATTGCCAGTTTAAGTGAAAGGGAGGAACAGCTACAAGCTTTTCAAAAATGTATTGTAACCATCCCTAGTGTAGCTTTTCATGGGTTATTTTAATGCCCACAAGGTATGAAGAGTTGCCATTTTTCGATCTCAAAAGAAAATTCACATTCCTAACTCCTGAATTTGTTAGTGAAAAGCTCACTTAACAAACATTATCTTAGAACATTTTCACCCAAGGAGCTTGGAAATGTAAAAGCTTTCAGCACGTGTTACCATTCTGCCACAATCCAGAGATCCACCTTTGAAGTTAAACTAAGGGGTAGATCGATATTTGGAATTCCAAAAAATACAGCACAAATCCCTAGCAGTGATACTAAGCATCAGAATAAATTACCTTGAGGTGTCGGCATCTCTCACCACTTAAACCTTCCTGTCTCCCAAAGAGGTGTGATTCAGAAATTGTTTATTGCTACTGGGCCTACCGTTCCTTTCTTCTCACAGGCCTATTCAAATTTTGTTCTTAACTTCTGTCAGATACCCCAGGCTCTGAGAATATGTATTGCTGCCACTTACCAGGTGGAACTGACACAGGGTGAAATTATCCCTTTAGAAAGTGCTCTTCAGCAGAGTCTGAAAGAGGAGATTCAGAGTGTAATTTTCACGGCTTTGCTAAAAGCCTGTGATACATAAAATTGTGACTGAGTTTGTGTTGTTTCTAAAGGAAGCAATGGAGAAGCCAATTCATCATCGATTGTTTGTGACAAGAATCCTGAAAGAATTTGAAAGTGACACATTTTTTCCAGAAATTGACCATAAAGACTACAAGCTTCTAACAGAGTAAGTACCAAAATGCTTATCAGGCTTGTCTTCAAAATAATCTAATTTGAATGTTTTAAGGGTTATATTAAGGCCATGTTGGTTTGAGTTTGAGGTGAATTTTTTCCCACAGTGATACTTCACTTACAACCTGGAATGACACCACACTCTGCACAGATTTTTTTGGAACTTGCTGTGTTCTTCAACTTTCCTATGATCTTCACAGTAAAGAGTTTTCTATGTCAGTTTGCTGCAAAAGTAGCTTTTTCTTACTGTTTCCTGGTTTGGAATTATTCAAATGTTTACTAAGCTTTGTAACTCTCAGTATGTTGTTAGTAAATAGTATTTTGCCTCTGAATGTCTTTGATAAATTGCCAAAGACAAATTAAATGGACTTGACTGGAGAGGCTTGAGCTTTATAGATTTCTAAGGTTATTCCTTCCCTCCTGAGAAAATTACTTCTTCCTAACAAATGTAGTAGGAAAGTGTGTACAAAAACTTACAGTTTCTGCCATTCACTGTGGTTTCTTCTATATTATTCTTGTCATATTCCAGTCATGCTTTTATGTCCTCTCCAACAAGATCACATTCAATAGGCACTGAGGAGCAGCAAAAATCCAGACACCTGCCTCAAGAACCAGGGAGGACCAGACCTGTTCTCCTCCTGCTGCTCCTGTTTTGGCTCTCAGCTGGTTACAGACCAGCAATAGAAGAAATAGAAAGTATGAGGAGTGAAACTCTCCTCAGGGGGCACAGGAATGGATTGGCATGGCTCTGGGGGAGGATAGGCAGGGGCAGGGAAGGATGCAGGACAGACAGGGTGGGTGGGGGTGATGAGTCACCTTCTCCAACTCCAATATATTGTGAATTACTCTGTGCTCATTTGAGTGTCCTGAAATCTGACCCAAAGCTCCCTCTCAGCTGCTCCTAGCTATACATTGTTTTTGGCCAATGTACTGAAATGAACATTGGTATTAGAACATGATTTTGTAAAATAACAGGTAATTTCCTCACTGAAGTGGAAACCTGATGATGCCAAACCTTACCAAATAAATTTAAAATGTATCTCTCCCTCAAAGTCAGTACTACTCATACAAAATCCTTGTTCTTTCACGGGGAGATGGAAAGATTTTTGAAAGCGTCTATTAATAAGAAGTGGTTTAGGAAACCTGGAATATAGAAGAACTCTTTCTATGGTAGCAGTCACCTGCTTTAGTAATATCTTGCAGACTTCTAAAAAGCTTTGTCCTTAGCATTTCCTCTCAACCAACTTAGGAAAAGCAAGGTGAGGAAAAAACCCAAAGTGTTCCATAATCTCTTCTTCCTTGGCTGACATTTTGAATAACGTATTGGAGGATTTAATAAAAATATTGGGTATTTCTTTAAGCCAAAAATAGCGGTGTTGTTTTGTGTTTGAGTATGCTTTCTTAATCTAAAAGATGTGCATACAAATAATGGATAGTAGTTAATATGATTCCTAAAAACAGTGTATCTATTCTAAAAGTGTTTTCATTTTTTTTTTCCAGGCAGCTTACTTTTCTAGTTGATTGGATAAACTAGAGGTGAATCATAATTATATTCTTACCTGCTTGTTGGCTTTTGCTTTTTCGTCTCCTCTCTCCCTAGGTACCCAGGTGTTCCTGCTGATATCCAGGAAGAGAATGGGATCCAGTACAAATTTGAAGTGTATGAAAAAACTGTCGCGCCGCCATAAGGGAGGCATTTTGTACTTCTGTGTAAGGGCAGGTATTTTAACCCATGAAGTTTTACTGAGTGTAAAGATACATTAAAATTTTGAAGAAAATCATGCCTGATGGTAAAATACCTCAGTAGTGAATGGTTCCAAAAAACCACACCCCACACTTTGAAGATACACCCTACAGAAGAGGGTCTGAGCAATTCCACGACAAAGGTTGCATGAGACTTTACACTGATCTTATATTCCATGGCAGCATCCCTGACAATTCCATGGATAATGACAGGCATTAGACTGTGTCAGCTTTTCTACTAAAACAAAAGGTTTTAGTATCTCTGTCCTTGTTCAAAACATGCAGCACTGAGAAAGCATCAATCCTCCCAAGTTTGACTGGGATTTATAAACATTCATAACAGCCTTTAAAATCTGTTGGTGTAGAGGTGAAAGTAAGCAAGCCCAGCAGGGGAAGGGGCATCAAGAAGTCTCACACAACAGTTGAGGGGTGCACTGATTCAGGACCTGTCAGTGGATGTGTCAGAACACACAGGGTGTGTCCCACAGCGTCACTAGTCCTGCTGCAAAACCTGCTCCTGGCTCCTCTCCCAGCACCTCTCTCCCTGGCTGTTGTTACCCACGGGTTTTTCCCCACTAAGGACCCAAAGGTGCCAGTGCCACTGCTGGGCTCAGCCTTGGCCAGCAGTGGCTCTGCCCTCGAGCCAGTGGCACTGGCCCCACGGGACACGGGGGAAGCTTCCAGCAGCTTCTCACAGCACCCACCCCTGCAGACCCCTGCTCCCCACACCTGGCCACACAAACCCAGAAAAATCTGGTAAAGAAGCTTTAGTTTTTCCCTAGGTTTACAGCTGTGTGAAAGCTTTGCTGCTCTCATAAAAAGTCACTGTGTCAGTTTGACTGCAGCCACTTCAAAGTGGAAGAAAATATACATTGATTTCTTAAAAGTCTGTGTTGCTATGTTCCTGCCAAGCATTATCAGTAAAGATGCAGTTTGTTTATCAGTGTAATTTTGAATGCTCTATGTGACAAATTATAAGCAATAGTAGAGTGGTTCTGTTTCATCTTTATTAGATATAGTTAAATACAAAAGAATACTAAAAATATTAAATAAGCTGGAATAATTTACACTGATGTTCCCTTAGAATATCAGCTATGAGCACCCCTTGAATTTTCCATGGCACTTTACTACAACATCTAGCTGACAAAAAGCATATTTGTTGCAGCATCTCTCTGAGTTGTCTCTGTTTCCTTTGAAACTGTGAGCACTTCCCTGTATTGATCTTCTTGTTCCATGTGTGCTGATATTACATTGACTGATAAAAACAAGTTTATGCTTACATATTGCTGCAAGAAGTCTCCAGAGTTTTAAACTGACAGCACATTGTTAAGGGGAGGAAAGAGAGTGCTACCAGGGAGATGTCACTTGTTTTTTTTTTAAGTACAAGTCACAGTGACCCTGGCAAGAGAATAACCTCCCAAAAATGTTTAAAACATACCTGTTATAGGTCAGTGTTGAAAGCTCTGTCAGTTTGCAAAGTACTGTGTTTAGGACAACTGACATTTATTAAAAGACTTCATGCAATGTTGGCTGAGGCCAGCATACATTAGAAGAAACTTTGTGCCTAAGTGCAGAGATAGGGTTCACTGTGGCCAGGATGTTTTGTAGCATCATTTCAGTTTCAAAGAACTTTTAACTTGGGTGCAAAAACAAGGCTGCTGAGAACATAAGTGGTTACTCTTGATTCTTTGTGGACTCACTCAGTCCTCTCCAGATTTAACTATGTCCTTTGTCAGATACAACAAATTAAGTTAATTGACGTTTCGTGGAAATGCAAACTTCTGTCTCCTGCTTGAAACTTTTCAGAACATAATGCTGTACCTTCAGTGTGGCTCTCTGCCACAAAGATGCATTTTTGTTTGGTTTGGTTTTCAGTAGAAGCGCTGCATTTGGACAACACCTTTTGCACCACAGCTTTTCAATATACCAAGCCCCGTGAAGAACTAAGGGAATGCATTTGACTGCAGTGAAGCTGAGCCCAAAATCGTGTTCACACCAAGGACAGACAGCCCAGGCACCACTCTTTAACCACACCAAGGTTAAAGGTTTGCTGTCTCGGGACAGGTGGGCAGAAGGGTGTGAGCCTGTGTGCTCAGCAAGCACATGCAGACTGTTTGCTGTCGGGTGTGTTGTGAGGGTGGTTACCTGACCCCTGTTACTTGCCCAGGGTAAAAATAAGTGTTTCGTACTGTGGCTTGAAGAGAAAAAAACCTGTGTTCCAAATGCATCTTTGTTTTGTTTACTCCTGTACCTCATTGATGAATGATTCCTTGAAAAGCCATAGATTCTCATTATGTCCAGTACAGGGGAAAATGTCATGTTTTTACCCAGTCCATGCAGCTAAGTGCAATGAATAGCATTGTGAGTGACAGTGTAATTACCAATCACCAAGAAAAGTCTATACAGGTATAATTTAATCCCCCTCATTCATGCTTTCCCGGGAACAAAATGTTCCAAACATATTAAAATTTTAATTCTCAAAGATAATACTAGATTTAACAAGATAGCTAAAACCAGAGGGTTTGCATAAAAATTTAAAAACAAACATAAATGTTTTTATTGCTAGTCTATTACTCATTATCTCCTATCTGACAGTGGACAGCGATTTGGAGGTAGAAAGCTGATGTTTTCAGTAGTGTTAGAGCCACGGTGTATTCAAGGTCAGAGCTGGGAACATTCCAACAACAAATCTCTATCGTGGACAGCAATCCATGGAAGAGAAAGGTACACTCTGAAAAATAAGTTAGCTAATTTACCAAATAAAATACTATTAGTATTTACACAGAAGAGCAGGGGAAAAACAGGAAGGGGAGAATGGCAATGATTATCTTATTCAGGTTATCTGAGGAGAGCACTGGTAGCACTTGACATGACATCTTAATGGGGAACGGACAGTTGTGTTGACTTTATCAGTCAGCAGCTAATTTGCTGAGGACTTAAACCTAAACCCAAACTTAGCCTGAGTAGTTAAAAAGTTATGCTAACAGAAGAAGGTGGGAGCAGGCAGAGACAGCAGCTGACTTGGAGGGAAGGATTGTTCCTTAATCAGGATAGAAAATTAGGTGAGCAGAGGTGACAGATGAGGCGACAAAGTCTGGTGAAGTAGAAAGCTGGGAGATGCCTCCCTTGTTATTCAAGCTGTCTGCTTGCCCTGGAGGGCTGTAGGAATAAAGCCAACCAAGTTAGGGTAAGGCTGGCTGAAAAATCTGAAGAGCCAGGTCCTGAAACGGATGAGTGGAAGAGGAGAAAGAGAGCTGAGAAGAGGAAATTGATGTTTCTTAGAAGGATACGTGGTTTATCGTGTTAGTTTGCCCTGTAGCTATAATCACTTGGGAAACACTTTAAGAGCGCTTCTGGGTTTAGCGCCTTGAAGATGCTGTGACAAAGAATGTCATTAGAGAGGGATTCTCAGGATTTGGGCGTTTGTGTGACTGCCTTTGTCGGCTCCACAGAAATCCTCAGCTGGGGTTGCTGTCCGGAGGTGCCTGCTCCTCACCCGGAGCGAGAGTCCCATCCCAGAGTCTCCGTATCCAGGGGCTGTCGCTGTGCCCGGCCCAGTGCTCCTCTTCTTCCCTCGGTTCTGGGAAACCTGCTCTTTTCCCCTACCTTCACTTGTTTTCAGCCAGCTCTGGGGTGATCCTGGGTTATTTTACCCTCTGTTCTCTGGATGCAGATCATTCTGTCTCCTCTAACATCAAAGCAAAATTCATACAAGAAGCCTTGTGTTAGATTAATCAACATGGTTGGAGAAAGAATAGATGAGCTCTTAAGCAGAGGTCTATTCTGATTACATTTTCAGGACTTTTTTCCAAGTGACTTGGACAAGAACTTACATTGCAAAAGTTGCCTGTTCATCTCCAATTAAATTGCATGGGTTGAAGTAGAATATCTCTTCTCATACATCTTGTTTTGCTCTTTTTATCATTTGATGGTTTAGCTACAGCATTTTTATGTGATCTTCAGTCCTTGAGCTGTGGTCCTTGTCACTCTGTTCCTTATCTCTTCAGTTGTCCCATTGGATTGAAAATTTACAGAAAGTCAGAGAACTGGGCTGATCAAGAGAAGCAGGTATTTCAAATAGATGTCTCTTAAGTATGTGTTTATTTCTGAGTAAGTGATGGTGAAGTGTTTTTCTTGAAATTGGGCCATATTTTTGCCTAAGTAAACAAAGCTGTAGGTATGAAAAGAAATATTATTTTTAAGTGATGTCTGCTGTGGAAAAAAAAATTGAAAAGTAAATACAAACTGAGAATAAACAGAACCTGAGAGGGCAAGAAATTAATGATACACCATTACCTATGGAGCCCTAAATCAATGTCTTTTTCTTCATTGAGCAGTTCAGTTTAACAAGTTCCTAACACCAAGAAGAGTCTTCTTCAGTAAGCAAGCCATTATTCAAAGACATAAAATATTTTATAAATTATGTAATTTATGTAATTGAGATGGACACTTGCATTAAGCAGAACATTTTGATGTTCATGCTTCCTCCAAATGCAGTCTTCCACACAAAACCCTGCTGGGAACACTCACATTGGTTTTGGACAGCTGTCCCAGTGGATGGATTACCAGCCCTTCACTGGCGATCCCTGCTTCACCTCAGTAATTTAAAATTGATGGGCCACTGAATTGCACTAAAGCTTGTTCAGTTGTACTAAGGAGCACTTTAGAAGCATTTAGTCTTTGTAGCTCTGTATCAGTAGCTCATCAAACATGCCCAAAAAAGCTCCTGGAAATTATTTCTTGTGAAAACAGCTGGAAAAAGAGCTTAATTTTCACAAGAGCAAGAAGGAACTTTTAATCACTATACCTCCTCTTGTTAGGTTTTGCTCAAAAAGATTAAAATTTAGATCTGGTCCCATTAGCAGTTCTAGGTGGAAAACCTCATTAATGTAACACATCTAAGTTCAGAAATATTTCTTTTTTCCTGATTAATTTTAAATCTTTTTTTTTTATGATTGTTCAGTTGTTTATCTCATAGAAGGCAACCAGTTTGACTGGAGTCCTTTACTCACTGAGTATTTTTGTGCATTTGCTATTTC